TTAATGATGTAGTCATAGGTGGTATCATGAAGCTGTTAAGGCTTGAATCGACCTCCTTGAGAAAAAGAAGAGATATACCGATAGGAAATGGGAGACTAGTCAAAATCACACCGTCCAATATTATATGGTAACCAGATCTTTCAGTCTCATAGTAGGTCAGCTGAAGCTCAAATAGCTCATTCGTGATGCTTATGAACACAGCACTAAGCAACGTGGCCTAATTTTTCTGGTGACATTTATGTTCCCCACTAAGGTTTCAGTTACATCTTGTTGACGAGTGTTAACAAACACGAAGGCAAGAACTAAGATTTCCCGTAGACATGCTTCAGTCAATGTGAACCACTCAGATTGCACTGCATTACTACTTGTCTTAGTTTGATGACCACTCTGAAAACATGAATGATCGAATTTTGAAGGCTTTTAGGACTAGATAACACAAAACCAGTTACTCTCCTATGACTAACCTTTAAAAAGTCATAAATATTTCGACCTCTGAGGTTAGTTTGTTGCATTTTCTTATTCATTTGTTCCGTTTTCTCCTTTAGAATGCTACTCTTTGTATTTGTGAACTAAACACAAACTTTATCGGTTTGTACTTCCACTAAGTAGTGGCCTAGAGGTAATAAACCTTCATCTGTAACGAATATTAGGAATTCATATAACTTTGTCACCGCTTAAGTCATATATAGGATAAGAACTGCAAGATACGGGCAAATTAACGTTATTCACATCCCTTAATTTGTGAAAGAAACCAACTTTGAACTTCGTGGTAAGTAAAAATACTTCAAAAAACATTTTACTTCAGAGTAGGAAGAAGAGCTATTTATCGCAGTGTTTGCACATGAGTCTGCGATTTTCAGTGGCAGATAACCTGGTCAAATGCAGTCCTATGAGGCTATGAAGCATCTCTAAATGATATGAGCATTGACTTGGTATTTCTAGGAAATGAATGATCATACCCAAATCTTGATAAACTTATATATTACTGTTTCAAAGTGCATTTTTGAACAATCTATACAATCGACTTGTATCACATAATCATCGGTTATGACCTAACTCTAATTAACTAAAGTCCACTCCTCAATAGTCACTTCAGTATTTCAGTTCTAGTATGGATTATATCAAATGCATGTGAACGATGAAAACTTATAAACAAAATCAAGGGGATGGTAGTAACTCTTGCCGTTCATTGAATGAGTCAAAGCTTTAATTCCGTTTTACTTTTAGTTCACATTTTCAGGTACAATTTTTAAAAATATAAAGATCAACCAGTCAAATGATGTGCAGACTTTGTGTATGCACCAAAAACCTTTATTGTTAAATCCTTGTTGATAGCTATGTGATAACCTAGCAAATGATCTTTGTTTAAAAAAGATGAAAATCAGTGAAACGTACACATTTTGTCAAAGCGATCCGCAAATAAGGATTATCTTCAGATAAAAATATTCCTAAATGACCAAGTAGTCACCCATTGCTCAATGGACTCAGTGTTCACTGGTTTTGTCAAAGGGAGCTTAGAAAAACAAAACTGAAATGTAGAATTGATGACATTCTATGCAAGATACTTTCGGAATACATTCGCTGTGTGCAACAATGGTCAGCATGCTCCTTATTTAATGAATCTTTTTTGATGAAGTACACCCTAACAATGGAGATTGATTCTTGAAAATGGATGGCTCTCTGTACAAGGGGATGGTTCGAAACTGATATGCAAAACCTGAACCAAATTTTGCCAACTTTCAAAGCAGGGGAAGAGACAAACAAGGTGATCTTAATGGCTTTCAAAATGGCATTTAACCTCAGTTTGATCGAATATTTTGTTGAAACACAAATTTTGAAACCCATAGACAATGTTTCAGATTGCGCCGTCCTAGAACATACGTTGGAGAAGTTATACACATATCTAGATAGTTAGTATGGAAAGATATCATTTAAGGAATTATTGATAAACGACTTATTTTACTTCGTCTTTTTCCAGTCTCTGATCGTTCTTATGGTAGTAAGTAGATATTTCCAGTTTCAGAAGACATAAAATGGAAGGTCATTTTAAACATTTAACAACTTGTTAGTTACTAGACAAAGACGATAGATTTCATCAGTCTCAGAACAGACATACTACTCAGTTAACCAGCAAAAGTTAAAAACATTTTGCCTGAGGTTTATCTTCCAAAGGGATTTATAAATCATGCTTCTATACCTTTACTGCCCGTTTCATACTTTTATAACTTAAAGCTTCAGAGAATTCAAGCTTTGAGCCATGATGCTTAGGTGGCTTACCTAAATCATGAACTACTAAAACATTTTTCACCAACAATATTTCACAAAATTCTTCTGTTCCTGTTTTTTTAGTAATCTTTTGGATGTCTTCTAAATGTATCATGTACTGTCGTACTGTTTTGAAATGTTTTCAAACTCTTGTTACTCAAGCTAATAACGAAACAACGGGAAAACGTTACGCCAGATGAAATGAAGATATCGATGCTTAAAAATACAATTTTCCTACTGGCGGATTGAACTACCACCAGCATGGCTTTGGATTCATCCACAATCTAGACTAGAAACTAACGTTGCACCTGCTACTCATCTCAAATTAGTGCATTTAATTCCGTTATTATTGGCATTATTCAGATGTAAAAACTATTTCTTTTAAAAATACTGTTGAAAAATCACCTACTGAAAAATTTCATAATGTATCATGTATATTACTATTTATTGATATACTTGTAATTCTTCGTTGTTTTATTGCTAGCCACAACCAAGAAAATTATCATGTATAATGACAATTTGCTTGGTCTTAGCTAACAGAATAATCCGCTGACGCGCGTCTCCTGTTTGGGACTAAGCAGCTAGATGTACCTGCACCCCAGTGAGTGATGTTGTTCCCACTGTGACTTGAACCTCGTACCCATCACTTCAAACGCCAAGGCGTTATCCACTGTGCCTCGGAGGCACGATAGCCACTACTTGTACAATGGGTATTAGTTGTTACTATTTGCTGACTTACTTTTAATTCTCCGTTTTTTTATTGGATCAAATTGTTTGACCTCTACTGGGACATGGGCTTCTATGCTGATGCCATGATATTGCCGGAATGTTAATTATGATAATTTGGTTGGTTGTGGCTAGCAGAAGAATCCTTAGCCATGTCTGTGGCACAGTGGATAATGCCTTGGCGTTTGAAGCGATGGGTATGAGGTTCGAGTTACAGTGCGAACAACATCATCCACTGGGGTGCAGGTACATCCGGCTGACGGTTCTCAAACAGGACGAAAAGTGCGTTCTGGATTCTTCTGCTAGCCATGATTAAAGAAATAACCATAATTAACACTCAGGCAATATCGAGACATCCATGTAGGAGTTTATGTGCCAATAGAAAAATATCACAGTCAGAATAATTTTATTTTCCAATTCATATATCCTTCTACCCACTTCGAATAGCTTAACAAGACTGTTGTAAAAAAAATGGATTGTATTACAAAACTTACGGTCTACATTTACTTATGTAATAAACTAGTCCTCAGTTTTGTTTAAATTTGCAAAAGAATTTTGTTTTCATTAAACTTTATGCAATCACCAACTGAGGTAATTATTGTACAACTGCATTCTGATAATTTATTTCACCCTATCTAAATTATGTTGCACTCCTACAAAACTTTATTGTAGTTATCTGAGTTATTGTGGCGAAATAATGAAAAAAGTTGAACTTAATGAACACTAAGTGGTCTGGATTATAAAGTCACACTGGTTATATGGAATTCTATTCGGTTGTAACTGCATAACAGGAAAACTTTAACTAATTTAAAATTAGATTTTTAAAAGATATTTTTATCCTTGCTAAATTTTGTTGACTCTATACTTTGGATGCCACATTTTGAAACTATACGTGATTAGAAATTACTTCCCAGGAGGTTATTAGTGTACTATGCAGTTTTAATCACTACTGACGAACGATATTATAATTACAGTCAACTATAGATCTACAGTTGTGTACAGATGTTTTAATCAGCTACTTTTAAGTGTTTTTTCATATCTGGGTGGATACAGTAGAATAGTTGGCGATTTAAGTTTTAAGAGTTGTCATTGACTCTCCGCATTTCATTAGAATTAAAGCAATATTCCATTTCTGCCGAATACGGTGGTAGAGACTTCTGAGCTTTTAGTAGGATATATATTACTAAGCCAACTTCTACGGGTTTGTTCCTGTTGTTTGTAACTATGTTTATATCATCTCTTAGTATTTCTAAACCATCCATCAGTGGATATAACCGTGTTTTGGTCATGGCATAAACTTTGTGATTTCGCGTTTCGCCAAATGTATCAATTTTTGACTTTGGTTGAGTATGGTTTGAAAACTGGTGCATAGGCAGAAAATGTATCGCAAGCTGAAAAAATAGTGGTAATTTTCTTTCAGAATAGTAGTTGTGCAGTAAAAATTATTTGCGATCACAAAAGAGTTGTCATCTTTCGTCTTTTCCAGTGGTAGGTATACCATGTATTCTGACTGTTGACAGTGCAATGAAAGGTGTTTATTGTTTGAGCGGCAATTGTATTGAGCCTTTTTATGTCACGTTCCTTTTTGGACCTATTGGAATTCACGATAATTCCACCTGGTAACTGCCTCCCTTTTGTTCTCAAGTTATTCAGAATTCCTGCTTCCTTTCCTGCAAAGAAGAGAATTACTTTTAAACGAAAAAGATTTCTTATGTGATTATCTACTCTCAATATTGGATACATGCCTCACATGTAGGTAGCGTACTTACTATTGTATTAGTTACAAACTACCATTCTATTGCATCACCTTCTATGCCTCCGTTTGAAGTGGTAACTTCTTTTATGTTACACATTTTGTCAACTGATTTCCTGTTAGGTAAGGTATCAATCCTCAATCCCTGCTTACTCTGTCTCTGCGCAATGTGTATGTCGGAGTTTGTTCTTAGACGATTCCTCAGTAGATCGTTTGCTACACGATCTGTTTAACGACTACAATAGTATCGTCTTGCATGATTTTTAACGATATTGGCTGTTTACGACATGAACAAGTGATGTTTGTAGCTACTGTCCTAAATGGTATCGACAGTAATGGAGAAATTCCTTTTTATGGAAATAACTCCTGTGGTTGGAAAATATTAAATTTACCCTTAGAGTGTAACATATCTTTCTTGTATTCACGTTGTAAGATTCCTGTGAACTGCTACCATCAATCTAGTGTTGATGAAATCAGTAGGTGTCCAGAAGTTTACTATCAAAGTGAGTACGTTTCTTTAAGATGAATTTTTCATCACAATGATAAAACCTACTACTATTTTTGGGGGTGCATCACTCATCAAGCCGTTTCATGACAGGCCATGCCTGTCGTACAAGGCGGTAGTATAGGAATGAATTTTTGGCTTTAGAAGGTTGTGGAGGATCTTTCTTTACTAATGAGAAAGGTTAGCTTTCCTCACACTATTCATTTTACCAACCCTCTAGTCTAATGGGATTTACTTGGATGATTATATAGCTAGTAAACGACAAATGGTCTAATTCTTTTCTAGACTTACATTTCGTATTATGTGTAAGATTATACGTAGATTTCTGAGGGTTATCCTTTTTGATATTCATCAACAGATTTCCTACAATGACTGATAAGTGATACTTGGATTCAAATCAGGAGGTAGATACACCATACAACAGTCCAAGTTGTGAAGGTGAATAATTAAATTCAGATACCCATAATAATGCAAATAAAGAAAAAATGAGTGTTACCCAATGTCTACCTATACACATTTTAATAGCATAGCAGGAAAAGTCAATAAATCCAACTAAATCAGCTAATCAACCAATCGATAATTGCATAGATTTTTGAAAAAGAAATCAAATAAAGCAAGAAAATCAGTCGCATATAGAAGCAGAGAAAGAGCGGAACAAGATGAGGAATTAGGATAGAAGGATAGCAAGACTAAGTGAAAAGAGACATAATCATCAATCTTAGAAAAAGGAAATAAACTGAAGTAACGCGTGAAAATAGAATTACGTGATAGTAATTTAATATTATCTAACAAGAGAATACAAAGACAAAGTGTTATCAATTAACTGGGTAAGTTTTTAATAATAAAATCATACTTTTACACTGTGTAAACTTGTACACTACATTACTTGTCACCATTCTGACTAAATATGTTAACAGATGAAGAAATCAAACAGAAACAGGTGAGTGAAAGTAAAGGCTTCACTAGCTGATTCTCCGGTATAAATCACTTTTATGAGTTTTAATGAGGTAGGAATTTGTGTTAAATACAGTAAAATATAGTGTAAAAAAAACAACTAAATTATTGCCTAATCAGAATGTCTAATTCAGGTAAAACATTACTCAGTAGGAGATAAAATTGTCTATGAATCATTAGAAAGTTCAATATGCACCAGATTAGGGTGTTAATGTTTTGATATTCTGAGTATTCTATGGGCTTGAGTTCCAATAACTTCACTTTTCAATGTCCATTTTAGTATCATCTTTGTTGAAGCCTTACAAGAGGGTTTGGTTTAAAAGCACCTCATAATTATTAAGAGATAGAAAAAAAATTAAACTACTACCACCAAAAAGTTGGTTAATTCGCTACATTTTTCCTGATTATCCAGATGAGGCAAATCTATCTTGTATACTGTCCAGCGTTTGCTTTCTTCTTGTCTGGCCAGTACAAATACTTTCAGAAACTTTATGGATTGGTATCACATCATGCTCCGATTGACTTCTACACTCATAAGCAATAATGAGTGTTCATGAACCTTCATCTACATAAAATTCGCATAGTTTTAGATGACAAGAATGAAAGCATAGTTGTTGTTTGTTCATAGCCATCAAAATAGCTTAGTAATCAGAAGTCACTAAAAGGAAAAAATTAGGTTAAGACTAGCGCTAAAATTACTTAGTGCGGTTTCCTATCATTTTATGTACCAAAACCTCATTTTGATCAACGCTTAAGAAGATGCAAATTTCAGTCTGTCTGTAAGAAGAGATTAAACGATGGGGTGGAGTGGATTAGCAAAATAAATTACGGATCACCGAACTAGTCCTATGTGTTAGAAGAATTATGGAATGATACATCGACGTGGAACGGCTGATGAAGCTGACTGAGATGTAAGAACCATAGTAAGGATGCAGTATACCTCAAGAAATACGAAGTGTATTTGTGAACCACTAAGTGATACTCCCATCTACGGCATTCCATCATAAATGAAGAAGCCATCAGCTGCGCAAAAATATTTACCTCAGTTTTGGCATTGCAAAGTTTTTATCACTCAATAAGTCTGTAGTTCGGTAATACTTGCACTAAATATCTGCATACATACGAATCCCTGTCAGTTTTGAAGTGACCTGGATTTCATTGCAATCTTCTTGATAATTAGTAATAGGAACCAAAAGCGCGTCTCGTTCTATTTGAGACCCGTCAGTCAGATGTACCTGCACTCTAGTGAGTGATGCTGCCACTGTGACTCAAGCTTCGAACCCATGGCTTCAAATGACAGAGCTTTACCTGTAGGCCACCTGAGCACGGCAGCTACCTCTTGTGCAAGGGGTATGCAGTATTATCTGGTTCTTAAAATTCTCCGTTGTTATACTAGATCGAATTCATCGTTCTCTATTGATAGATAGACTCCTATGCGGATCCTTAAATTACGTGTTATTCAATGCAATAGTCACTTTTTACAGAAAACAATAAAACTAGCGCAAGCAGAATGATTTGAAATTAACACGTCATTCAACAGTCATCACAATTGGACTTAAAGCGTTGACTAAGCAGTACAGCTATAAATCGTTTCAACTTTTAGGAATCAACAGCCAATAGAAGATTTTAACCTTACATTTTGAGATAAAATCACTGGTTTACATTCAACTTCCTTAATAACATAATTGACTCAGTGTTAAGTCCCAGTTTTCTTTTCAACTTTCTATTCTTTTGAATTCTTCCCATATTCTTAGTGTTTTCTTCACCATTATTCCTATTATCTCTACCAGTATGTCAGAACCATTGCTCCATTTATTTTTCAAGTGATATACCTCAAATACCGATGTTTGTATTTCAATAGCTGTTGAGTTTCAACTTCGCTAACAATTGGGTTCATTGGTGGCGTTAAACTGGTTAACAATGAAAGGTTTATTATTAAACTGAGTATGAACTACTGTTTTATTTATGTACTTAGAGGGGACCTTGATTTTCCGATGACTTTCTATCATTCAATTGCTCATGTTTTGACGTGGTTAGTTTATTTTCACTAAATGTTGAATATATCTCAACCAACAAGTCCTTAATATCGTATTTCAGTTTGAAAATATGACTGACTTCACAGTGGTATTCATCAAGAACTGACATGAGCCGTAGAAGCATTGAAAACCTGTCAAGCAATGGTTAGCTGTTTCGTCCTTGCATGGGACTTCCTAACAGTCCTCACCCATGAACCCGTCAGAGATTTTTCACTCCAAACAGTCCTGCTACATTCTTATGCACAGTTTATTTTCTTAGCGTCAGATTATGCTGATCCTTATTTCGCTTATCTTTATAATCATGGTACGTTATACATCGGTGACGAAAACAAAAACATACAATGAAATGAACATATTCTTTAAAAAACATAGTGAACAACAATAATCTGTGTTCCATATAGTAATCTGAAGTTACACCAGTTTTATTCAACTCGCTAAGGATCAAACGAAGTTTTTCTTATATTGCGAACTAGTAATGCTACACACTCCAAATCTTTCTAAGAATCTTCATCTTTTTTAAGCCATTACTTATCTACATAAGCTCATACATGTAAAAAGGTGAGCACAACAGTCTAGATAATTTGACTTTATTTTTATGTTTAATAGATCAAGAAGTTGACTCGGTATGAATATACAGTCCTTTTGGTCGTTAAGTTCTTTAGTGCTTTGAGAAAGATATGGATATCTTGGATATCAGTAAAGTGTCTAAAAAATGTAAGGACTAATCGTATGTCACATATAATTCATTTCTCTATGTTGAACATAAATACCGAGTTTGTTATGTAACATGAACATTAGGTCAACTTTCAATTTCTTTAACCGCACAACTACCGTTGTAATCTTCAAAACTCTAGCCATAGAAAGATTTTGAAAAATCGACTGTGGATTAGGTCGCAAATAAACAGTGATTAAAACAATGTTTTAGTGAACACAAACGACATAATCACATGACTAATTGGAAAATAAGTTAATAAATATTAATATATTCTGTAAGAAAAATATTCCGTCTAAGAATAAAGTAATAGAAATTGCAGCACTGAGTATTATGAATAAAATGAATTTCGTCAGCTTGAAATCAGTTATTGAAAAAACAAGGATGGTGGACAGTAAATGCATCTCTACACGACTCAAGTCGGATACTTTGAACAATCTCACTTATCAGCTTTTGTCTAATTTGTTTATCAGAGCAAAATAAAGTAACACCAGTGCTTCTCATTTTCTCTCCAGTGAGATGCGTCGGTTTAATTTGAATCAAGTTTTAAATGTAAAATTCCATTCCTTGTGTAAATTCATTTCATTTCAAGAAAATTCTTAGGTTATCTGATAAATCTCAATTGAGTACTTACAGCTTTTCGAACTAAACCATCTTTTATCTATCTTGATTACTGAGAGATTTAGTTATTTGAAATTTACTGAATACAGGAGCTCTTTTTAATAATGGACTAAACTAGCCTATTTCTAACTTTTCTTTGAGTTCTGGTGTTAAGCGTCCCCAGATTCCAGTGATTACTTGACTTTTCTTCGTTGATGCTGCTTTATTGCACTAATCTCTGCTTACTGACCGGAGCGAATTTCATTAAAGCATTTGCTCATTACGCCCCCATGGACTATATACATATGAAAGCCCTAACATATTTGGAATTTCACCATGCTAACGAATATATTCGAACCAGTGGTCTTTTTCTGCAACAGCTAAGGCTGGAAAGAGCTTGGTTGTATGTCCAGGCTTTAAGCTTCTCTCCAAATTACATCCTCTCATGATAACAACTATTTAGAAATATAATGCTAAATATATTTATTCCAAGTTATTCAATACATCAAGATGAATACAGCCCACTTTTCAATCGTGAGAATATTAATGCGTTTTCATGGTTTTCAAGTGTTTCATTTGTTTTTAAAACAAAAGCATAACTATTATCATATTTTCAGTGGTATATAAGGAAATAAGAGAAGTCAGAGTTGGTTTATTCATAAATTAACATTATTTAGAGTACTATCTGAATCGGATATCACTGGAATATTTTACTTTTAGTTTCAGAGTTATTAGAATCACCTATCACTAATTACTTACAGGCATTGCAACTGACAACTGTCTGTGATAAAAAGTACCATAGAAGTGATGAATAATTTACGGACTTACCAGATAAATCACTTTTTTTCCTGTCACTATGGTAGTATAGATTAGTGAGTGTTGAAACAACCAGATCTATTGACAGTTTTTCGCACTAGTGATTGATTCCATCAGTATTGAGATTCCCTTTTTTCAGCATTCACCAATGTGAACGAAAAGTGAATGACTAGATTAAGGTTAAATTAATTTAATACGAAAACTTCTAGAACACTTGCTTGTTTATCAATGGTAAGAGAACATATTAGCCTATCTCACGTGACTTAACTTCTGTTGACAATTTTAATGCACTAAGGGCATATATATTCAATCTCCATTGACAACTATATGTAATGTGGGTCGGTAGAAAATCAAAAGTCGAAGTCAGTAGCGATACTGACTCTTATTCTGTGAAATATATTTCAGATACATTGAAATCCCTGATGAAATTTATTTCTTTAAATCACTAGACTTCTTAGCACTGTTATGAAGTTTGATATTTCAGTTACTTTCCTTACTTTTGTAAATAACATAAAATTGAAGCTTTCAAACGTGGTGATGAGGAAGAATAACAGAGTGTCGATTTTGATTTTGGCCCAATTGCAAATTTAAGTCTTGATTAGTATCTCTAATATCATAATGTATAATAACAGTTTCTTAGCTTTACTGTTTTATTTCGTTTTTCAAGGCTCATATAAAAGAAAGTCATAAATTAAAAAGGGCACTTATC